TTTAAAAAGTTGAAAAAAATTCAAAAGAATAATATGTAGTAACACATAAAAATTATATGGAATTTAAACTTTAGGCCAGGCGTGATGGTTCATGCCTGTAATCCCAGCACTTTGGGAGGCCAAGGCGGGCAGATCGCCTGAGGTCAGGAGTTTGAGACCAGCCTGGCCATATGGTGAAACCCCATCTCTACTAAAAATACAAAAATTAGCCAGGCGTGGTGGCAGGCGCCTGTAATCCCAGCTACTCGGGAGGCTGATATAGGAGAATCACTTGAACCCGGGAGGTGGAGGTTGCAGTGAGCCAAGATTGTGCCACTGCACTTCAGCCTGGGTGATAAGAATGAGACTTCGTCTCAAAAAAAAAAAAATTCAAATTTTATTGTCTAGAATAGTTTTACTGGAACATGACCACACTTATTCATGTAATGTCTATGGCTGCTCTCACTTCACACTCAATAACAAAGTAGCTGTGACAGAGATGGTATGTGGTGCGTTCATCACTTTGCACTGCTGCTCAGGGCACTACAAATTACAGTGACCCTGTTACATCTTGACTGTTTCAAATGCCACATGTATCATGATACCACAACATCTTTTTTATTACTTATTATGTAAAAACAATAAAAGAAAAGTGGACTTCTTCTAATGTTAAATTTTTAAGGCAAAGTGAAATGCAGATAACTTTGTTATGGAACTAATGGCAAAATATTATATTTACTGTGCAATGAAGTAACAGTTGTGGTTACAGAATATATGTCAGTGGTTAACAGACCAGTGGTTAATCATAATGTTCCCAACTCATAAGAAAGCAATGGATCAGAAAAATATTTAAAATGAAATGTATCATTACTGCAGCATTTCCTCCCCAAAATAAAAATGAGGCTACAATAAAAATTTCTGAGTGGCTCATTTGTTAGCCAACCAAGGAAGGCCATTTACCCATTTACCAATGGTGAACTGATTAAATCTGTGTGCTTGCAGTAGATTAAGAAAGAGGTCCAGAGAAACTAGATTTAAGATTATCAGCCTTTTAGTGAGAATAGATGATTGAATAGTTGAGGGCATTAGGAGTAATATCAATAGTAAACTAAAAAACAAGGCAAGTGACTTTCCTTGGTTCTTGATGAAGTGACAAATGCTACCAATAGCACTAAGTTGTCTAGCCAAGAAGTCAATGCTGAGTTTGAAGTGACTGAAGAATTAACCTTGAATAGTCTGCATAGAACAACTATGGGTAAGGATATTTTCAAAGCATTTGAGAAAGCAATAATTCAGTACAACCTGAAGTGGAATCTGCTGTGTTATATTTCATGGTAGTGAAAATATGTAGAGCAGAAAAAGATGTAATTTGACAAATTTAGAAAGCTTGTGAAAATTTAAAGTGTTTAACACCTATGATTATTCATTGTATTGTTTTGATCAGTGGTACTGCCTGAAAAATATGGAAATCTATCAAGTGTTACTGGATCAGTATGGTCAACAGTGAACTTCATTTACTCTCATGGACTTAATTATTGTCAGTTCTGCGAATTTTTGTTAAAAATAGATGCTAAACGTTATCCTGCATTATGCTATCACACAGCATTTCAATGGCTCAGCACTGCTAAAGTTTCATAGTGATATTTTGAACGCAGGGCCCAGATTGAACTTGTTATGAATGAGAAGAACAGCCTTCGACCTCTATTAATGGACACTAAATGGCTTTGAAAGTTAGTTTTTGCTGTAGATATGATGATGTTTCATAATAAATCCAACCTAAAATTATGAGGCAAAACAGTGCTTACATACAAAGTTTTTACTGTAGTAATTTGGAAAACAATGAATGTTTAATTACAAGTAATATTAAGCTGCTTTATATACTTCTTGTGCCATCAAAAGTTAAAACAAGATCTTGATTCACATAAAAATTTACAGCAGATATGTTTTTTGAGTTCAAACTACAGTTTGAGTAGTGTTTCTCGATACAAGAGCAAAGGCGATTTCCATATCTCAAAATCCATTTCACTATGCAACTGAAGAGCTTCCACCTAACCTTCAATTGAAAGTGATTATCTGCAATGAAATGATATGCTAAAAGGCAAATATCAGGAGAAGAATCTAACAAAATTCTACAAATGCCATGTAAAAGAGACATATGCTGAACTGAAATTAGATGCTTGTAGAATGATATCAGTATTTGGCAGTACCTATGTGAGAAAATATGTTTTCAAAGATGAAATATAAAAATTTTATTATAGATCAGAATGTTTGTACTCAATTTTGATGGCTAGATCACTAACTTTAAATTCCAACTAAGTGAAATGTTATCCCTCCAAAGAATTCACCTCTCACTTATTAGATTTGTATTACATAAAATTGTACTCAATTGTTGTTATATTTTGAATTCTATCAATAAAATTTGGTGGAAATTTGTTTTTTTCTCCTGTTACATAACACTTAACATAATATCCCTGATTTATGATACTGACCTGCAAAATTTTACTATCTGGTCCCTTAGACAGAAAAAGTTTGGTGACCCCTGATCTAAATCACTGGTAAAGGCAGTTGCTCATCAAATTCTTTTGTACTTAAAAAGAAACAACATTAGTGGTTCACTGTAATTTTTTACACAGGTGATTCTGATGCTCTTAGCTGGCCCTTGGCATCACTGGTCTATAGTTGTTCCATCCCTCATCCCATTTACTATGAATCATTTACAGCTGGAATCATCTAGCCTCCCTTCCAATAGAAAGAAACTAAGCAGAGGATGCCTACAAGTTAGTTGAACAAGTCATTAGAAAAACTGGTTAAAACCCTTAGGATTCCTGATTATTATAAAATAAAGTTGACAAGGACCCAGAAAAACAGTTTTGAAAAACATAGGTACAAAGGTAGAAGAGTAGAAGATTATTCTCCTCCTCAGCCTAGTTATAAAGATACCCTTTGTATCTTTAATGAGCTGACAACAGACCTATTATTCATTCACTCAACAGATATTGATTGAATACTTATTTGTATATGCCAGGCACTTTTCCAGGTACTGGGGATATAGAAGTGAACAAAAAAGACCAAAATCCCTGCCTTCATGGAGCTCACATTTTAGTGGATGGAAAGACCACGATGTCTCAGTGTTCCCCTTTCAAAATTACCCAAGGTGAGCAAAAAATTTTAGAGTCCAAAATCTCAATTTACTATTATAGAGAGATGACTGTTAACAAATTCAAGGTAAATTTGTGTATCTGATGTTGGCAAGATGAGGGAGTCCCTGATGATTGATCTACTGATTTACTAGTGACTTTGGTAAAGTATAAATTTGAGGCTGGTCATCAACAGAAAGTGACAGGCTGGATGTCCACGTGGGTAGAAATTTATATAAGACAGTTGATTCAAGTAGCTGGAGAATGCTGCACAGAAACAAAGTTAAGACTACTCTCCCAGTATGAAATGCCCATTAAGGTTGGTCACTAATGATACAGAGTAGCCCTGATGCTATATGATTTCTTCCAACCATGCAAAGAATTCATCTAGAGATGAGATTTTAGGAAGTGTATAGGAATGTAGAAAAGAGGGTCAAAGAAACAGAAGTTTTCTGCTAGACAGGGATGATCACCATAACCATGGAATTCAAGTTGCATAAGGAGGAAAGTAAAGATGGACGGGGGGAATAACAGATGGAGAAAGTGGTAGAGTTTAGTAGGTTTGAAAGAAGCAGAAGGAATCTGGGCTTCCAGAGATGAAAAATAGAATGAACAAAGGCTGGCTGAAGAAAACAGATGGTGGTTACAACTCTTTTTGTCCAATAAAATGTCAAAATCTTGAATCAAAGGGGTGAACAGGAAAATAAGTTTCACAATGCTGTTACAATTTCTTGATGTAGTTATTTCAGAAACTATGTTTTAGTATGAAATATAAATTAGAAATTAAACAACTTTAAATGCATTAGAGGAGATTCTGTTTAAAACAATCTTGGTGTGTATTAACACTTAAGGCAAAAACAAAAACAAAAACAAAAAAACTCCTTACAATGAGTGATTTAATTTGTTTTCTGTAAGTTCAGATAGGTACATACAAATGTTTCTTAAAGTAAGGTTGTTCTGTAATGAAGATAGAAAGAGTATGAGCTAATTTTTCATTAATACTGTATCAGTTGACTCACACACAGATGAAGGATTTCAGACTTTCCCCTGGCACTCAGACGATGCCAATAATCTGTCAAGTGGCAGGAAGGTGGCCTCAGTGATCTCTCAAGGTCTATGTCATCCCTTTAAACTTACTACGCCTGGGGTCCAAGTTTGGTCCTTTGCAAACACAAATCCTTGGGTCTCCCAGTTCTATAGAAATTCACAATCAATTTTCTACTATCTCACTCATACTTTTTGGTATCAATTTTCTTCTGTTGCTTATACAATCTTCCTTTCAGACAGAGCTTAAAGCTCAAACTTGGGTTAGGGTAAATTATGGTTCTCTTATATTGAACATTACTTTTATTATTCCAGAGTCTTTACTGTGGGGTGGGTAAGAGACTGCTATGTTCACAGGGAATTCATATTAGAGTAGTAGGCTAAGGAGAGACTTCTGTAGAAATCATCTTAGTCTTCACATACTTATCAGCACCAGAATCCAGGTAGGGCATCACAATCTTCTGACACCCATCACTGACAGCCTCCTTTTTATAATGCAACCATTTAGGGAGAACACACAGTTGGGAGTGTATTACAGTACAAAGAAGGCATTGAAGCACCTGCAGTACTGCTTAGTGCCTTTGACTCTGCAGTAGGAATAAGGTTAAAGGGGAAAGAATGGTGAAGAAAGAAGGAACAGACTGTATTGCTACTAGCTGCTAGCTGCTGATTCTTAGTCAATCATGCCTATTGCTGATTTATAAAACCATCTTTTTCTAAAAGTCCATCTTTCCTTTTCAAAATACTTAGCAAATTCCAAGAAAAAATACCTCATCTGGCGGGAGGTTTGAGTACTAAATTTATGTTCAGGAATGAAAACTTTTGCTAGAAGCAACTCACCGCTCAGTTGCTGGGCTGCAGCCAGGCGGCTGGGCTTCAGGATGAACTGGCACTGCATCTCTCGAGGGAGCTGTTCCATAAGGAAGGGCTCTTGGAGGTTGAAAGGGGTGGTAGAGTCCTTTGATCCTGGTGTCAGGAGTGCAGTGTCTCGAAGATGGCTCATTTTAATTCCATATGGATATTCATGCCCTACACAGAGAAAAATCTAAATGTAGACTTCAGGCTGACTGGTACTGTTAGCATGTGTACTACAAAATAGGAGTGTACTGCAATTTACTCCTGGTACTTTTGGCATAAAGAATCCCTTTGTTTGACAGAATGATCATTTACACTCTTACAGCTGGAGACCAGCATGCAGGTGGTCCTACCAAAGTAGTTTTAAGGGAAGAAGGGAGAAAAAGAAGAAAAAAATCTTTAAAGATTATCTTGTTTGGAATGAATGCACAGATCAGTTTGCGAGTTCCATAATGCTGACTTTTCCAATGTGTGCATCAAAGGATAATTAAAGGTATTCTGTTGTCTCCTTTGACATTAACTAGATCTATAATTTTTCAGCAAATACATGTCCTTGCTCAGTCTCAAATCTGATTTAAAATATTTTTTCTACCTACCACAGAAGTATAAGGATCTATATATGTCAAGTATCACTATTATTAATATTATTTAACACAAGATGTTTGCCTAAAAAACATTTCATTAATTTTTATTATAGTTAGTTACTCAAGAGCATTGGGACTGGTTTGATTTACGCTTCTCTGTCACTGCTGCCCTCTGAGATTGATGTTCAAAGGCAATAATCAGAAGGAAGACTGCAGGGGATCAGAAACACAGAAACAGATGCAAAAAGGAATGTACAAACTATAAAAACTAAACCCTGGACATCTGACTATAACATAATTTTAACTCTTTAGTATTCTAAGTATTATGTCCTTTTAGTGTGATCCTCAAATACCACTGTGATGTAGATTTTTTAAGTACAGAGAGCAGGTTCCCTTCTATTTCCTGACTTATCACTAAATGTAACTCAGCGAACTCTTACTCTTCCTTTTCACCTGGTCTAGGCATACAATGTCAATGTTTCATTAATATCAAGTACTACAGCAGCTTCCAGAGATTAAGGCAGAAAAAGGCTTCTATGACAATAAAACGAAATCAATTTATCAAAATAGCTGGCAGTTAATCTATAATTGAAGTCTACAGAGCACATTAAAATAATGATTAAGAATTGCTGCTAAATCATGGGACAATAATGTCCTATGTCCCATTGTTTTTCAGTAAGAGCTAGTCGGGAAGCTTGGGGCTGTCATAAGCCTAAAAGTTACCATCTACATAGTTTTCATTAATATATTTTATTAAAATAATTATTTTAAGTGTTTGAATTTTAATAACTTTAACTATTGTTCATTGACTATTACAAAAATGACATTAAAAATCTGAAATACAGTCGATTTTGTCTTCAGCTCTGTGCATGATCACTTTCTGTATTCTAAATATGAGCATATACATTTGTAGAAAAATTTGGTTTTAGATTACTAAGATCACTTGAAACACTGAATTACACAGTTGTGACCTCATAGATAAATGAAATAATTACATGAAATAATGCATACAATATGCTCTGCATGATGTTTGGCAGGTAGTAAGCATTTTAAAATTGTTAACAGAAATTGTCATCATGATTATCATTGTTATCATCTCAAGATTTGGTAAAGATACTGTCCTTTAATTGTTCTATTTCTGTTAACCACACTGAATGAAATACTGATCAAGAAATATTTTTTAGTTAATGGCTTAAATAAGGTAAAATGGAACATATTTATCAACAATTCCTCATGACAAATGCTGGAAAATCTGACTAGAGAAATAGCAAAACAATTAAGTTACTGAAGTAGCAGATAATAAAGACTTTTAGGAGTCTAAATGGGTTAATCTGATTTTCTTCATGAAGCTTAGGAAGGTTCTGGGTATACAGCAGGTGTTACATACTCACTGATGAATTAAGATGCATGGTTGTATTTTAGATGGTCTTCCATAGAGGCACATAGTAGGTGAGGGAACAGGAAATGTAAAAACTGAATATGAAAAATAAATGTATGGAGAAAAATACCAACACATATTTCTTTCTTAGAAAAAAATTTAAAAAGCTTTGGCAGGATGACTCTTGTCAAATGAAAAAGCAGAGAGAAAAGTTTGTATTTCTCTTCCCAACTATACCATTAGCTTGAATGAGGAGATATTATTTGTCTAGTACAGAGTAAATCCTTGATAGATATTTATTAAATGAACACCATGAAATTTCCTATTTAATAGTATTTAAGCTTAGGACCATTATGACCAATTCTCGGAGACACTTAGACTTATAATTAAAACACAATCGATGCTATCTTAGACTTCTGCAAAAACTTACCAATGAGTGGGTATGGAGCCTCTTCTTTTCCAGAATTGACCCATAATTGGTAATCTCTCTCAGAGCCCTTAGAGATAAAAAGAGTTAAATGTCACAATAAATCTTTCACATCTGATACTTGAATGAGGACACATTTTTTTTTTTTTTTTGGTTTTGTGTCCTCCCTCCTGCCCCCTACTCAGTGATGGTTAGAGATCCATGAACTGCAGTGGAATCAGGCCTTCACTATATAGGTAGCCTACAGAGTGTAAAATCATAGTTAGGCCCCTTTACAAAGGAAAAACAATCTTCCTGGCTCTTAAAGGCTAATCTCTTCTTTAGAGTCCTGACTTCTGCTATGTTCCTCCACTTCTCAGAGAATATTGGGCTTAACCTCCAACATGCCCCTGCAAAGACAACCTTATTATCCAGAAAACCACAAAACACTTCTGTGTCTATGATTAAAAAGTAATATCTCAAAGGCTGATTATTAGCTCAGCTGCTTCTGAGCAGGAGAATGACCAAGAGGCTTTGAGGAGATAAATAACTGGCACAACCTCTACTGGCTTTAGTTTAGGCAAGTTCAGTCCTGGGGAAAGAAAGGACAAGAATTCTATTCTAGAGAATAGGCCCAGTCATGGAAAACAATAAAATTGTTCACTAGCAGAATTATAATCCAGCAACATTATAAATCCCACTTGAAAGAAATGATACTTGAAAGAAATTATACAGATTTTTCTGAATTCTCTAGGAGGGATAAAGCAGAAATGTTTTAAATGAAGCTAGAACAGATAAGTCTGTTGGAAATATTTCATATCCTTGCCTTTAACTTCTGATAAAAAATCATGGCCCTGCCCTTATAATACCAAAAAAACCATTCCACTCCCCCCATACTCAGTTTATCTGTTACTTCCTCCCGGCCCCATCCCTCCTAGTCAAAAAATTTATTGTAAATAGGAAGACCAATCTAATAAAAATCCTTTCTTTTTATATAGTGTCCAAACACACTGTAATAATCCCTTAAAACTGGTATAACCAAATAGTCTCAATTCTTAACAGTTTTTTTTTTGGTCTGAGGAGATTAATAATTTTATCCAAAGGAAAAGCATAGATAAGAGAATGAATCCTGTCATTAATTCCTCTACATACCTCTAAAACTAACTAGTTTCTTCCAAAATATATTCATATAGCTTAGAAATTAATGGAGGTGCCTACTCTACCCAGCGCATATATTTTAAATGTAATCAAATTTATATCACTAAGTTTAACTAATTATCAGATTATCCCAAATTCTAGTTGTCCTGAGTTCTAACGGGCTTACTATAGTACTGTGTATAAGCAAATCTAAACACAAGTAATCAAACTATGGCATGTCTTAAATATGTGTCATGAATTGCTCTGAAAACAGTGCTCCTTGAATGATGTAACATGACACATATTTAAGACATGCCATAGTATTCCACAGTATTATTAACTGTATTTAGATTTGCTTATATACAATGTACTTTCATATTTACAGAGAATCTCACTGAAGGAATAGTGTTTTTAAGTGCTTCCTTTAGTTATCATCCTTTTGAAAGTCATTCCCTTTAATGAAAGTACTCATTGTGTGGTGTTTATACAACTGGTAGCAAGGTGATGAGGACAATCTTCCAGTTCTCCTTCCTCTACCTCATCCTCAAATGTTCTAATCTTCTCCACTTCTAAAATTCTCAAAAATTCACCTCTATCGCAGAAAGGAGAAAGATACAAAGCTAAAAGTAAAACAGGGAAGAATGTGGTGTGCACACTAAAGCTCTCCAAATCCATGATCTAATTCAAAACTTGTCTTTTTACTAACCAATTTATCAGAGGTATTAACCATATCATGCTTAGGTCCTGTAGCCAGCCAATATGGTTTTATGTAAAAATTCTACTACAGAACAAACACTTCAGAACTCATCATCCTAAGACTGACCAAGTCTTGGGATAATAACAGGATAATTATATAATTATATAAGGGAAAAGTCAAATTGTGACCAGTAGCAAGGAGAGAAGGAGTATGAAACTTTATTAAGAACTTTATACCAAAAAAATTTTTGTGTATATATACAGCATACATAATAAAATACAGGTTGTCACTTTAAAATTATAGTCCAATCTTATAATTTTCAGATCACACAGATTTTAAAATAGGAGAACAGCACCACCCATATATTAATCATATTAAAGCTTTAATGTTCTTATCTTCTATATTTTGAGGAGTAAAGTATTACTTTGGTATCTCTAATAATCAACTGCCTTATGATGGAAGGAAAATACTTACATAAATTTAAATAATCAAAGTTTATTTTTAATTAAGAATGTCTAGCAGAATAACTTACAGTTATCCCTAGCAATGGTAATGACATGTTGATAACTTCATTCGCTGTATCTGAATTCATTACTGTTATAGTTTTAGACTGTAGAAAAAAATAAGAAATATAGCTATAAAATAATGAATTTTAAAACAGGTTAACAAATAGTCACTGTCAAATGATTATTGAAAGGCAAATCTTGATTTCAAGTGTGGACAGAGTAAAGCATAAGATTTAGGGAGAACATAAAACTTTGATTATAATTTGCTTTCATTTCCTTATAAATTATGCCCTCTAATAAAACATTTCTCTTAAAGGATGCATGGCTTACAGAATATAAAAACTTAAGCAAATAAGAAAGACTACATATATTTTGGAGAGAGTACATGGACCCAGCTCCCAATTAAAAAAATAAATCAGTGAGGTTGGTCCTCTGTCTTATTTCCATAATTGTATTTCCATAAGGCAAAGGGTAATTAAAAAAAGGCAAGAGCTGAATCTCCATTTCTTCCTTAGTAGTGTTTTCACAATACAGGGTTTTATTTCTTTGCATGGTATAAAGTCAGGTTAGGTAGAATTAGGATAATAACTGGTTACAAAAGATGTTTAAAGCCTCGAATTTTTAAAAGTCACTACTGGGAACTTTCCATGTGTCACACACTGTGGTCACTAAGATTTTAATTGTTGAAATCTTTGGAGGACATAAAAAAATAAGTCTAGAAGAAAGAATTGAAAATTTTAGAAAGCTCAATTCTATTATCAACTCTGCCAATGAACAGAATATCTATAAAAGCTCTGTGCTAAACTATACTGAATACTTTTACTTAAAAATAGACAATTTGCAGCAAACAGTAAAAGAGTTAAGAAGATTCTGAGATATCTATAGAGATCGCTGAATTCCAAAATGCATTACTTAAATATAAATGCTATGTTGTAAAAAAACTTGATACATACATAGGTTTTACACATGAGAATTATAAGATTAAATCAGCAATTAGGGCTGTGTCCCTGATAAAGAAGGCTTAAATGGCATAAAAAAGTAGCATAAATACAAAAATGATACAAAAATAAAGGTAACTGAAATCTGATAATTCATTATTTATCTTTCCATTAATAGAATTTCTTCTCTATGAGTGAATTATTTGATATGATGAATTGCCTCTAAAAATTGTTTAACTGAATTTTAATTTAAAAAAGCATTTTAAATGCACAATTTCAAACTGTTCCTGGTAGCCCTAAGGATTGTGCAAAATTGTCTGAGTGAAACAGGGAGTCTTTGGGGCACTCAACCCAGTGTCTGTCTTCTACCAGAGCGTTATAGGTATATGACATACTGGGCTTTAACTTGAGAGAAAATTTTTTAAAAGGCTTCTGATTTTTAAAAAGTCTAAAATTTTTTCCATTTAATTTAAAGAAACTCTCCCATGAAGTCTTGTTACGTGAAGAATCTATCCTCCCAATAACCTGGTTTCTAAGATAATAGTTTTTCTTAATACTAGGCATATATGTTCAAAACATAATTATAGAAAGTATATTTTTTTCCTACATGCTTTTCCAGTATACAAAACAAGTGAATTTCAGCAGAAAGAACTCTTTGGCTAGTAAACAAATAACAGACAAAACTGAAAATGTGGCAATTTTGTTCCATATTGGCATACGTTACTGACAAGGTGTGTATAACTAGGGGGCAAAGATAAAGAATGTTTCCCACACATGCATTCCTATTTGGGGGAATCGCTCTGGAGGCAGGGCTCCCTGAACGAGAGTCTTGTTATGAAAGCTACTTTAGAGAGCAAAGGACAGAGTATGTTACATCATCCTTGACTTAACCCGGGTACTAGTGATAAAAACAGAGCACCCAACCTGACCATATCTCTTATCTTCTCTTCCAAAATGACAGTGGGACATCAGTCCTTTCTCAAGTACATACTTTCATATACCGAAAAGAAAGTGTTAAAAAAAAATTAAGGGATTTTACAGGAAATCCTGAATGTAACCAACTGCCACAACTGAATCAAAGCAGACAGAAAAAAACAGGGTTTTTGTTTTGTTTTGTTTTACTTTGCTACAGATCTCTGTAGTCTCGTACTATAAAAATTTGAGTATTTCCCTCAAGCAGTGACATCTGGGATTCAGGAGTTGGTCAGAACATTTGCATAACTTTTGCTTTTGGCCAAAACATAACTATTTTGCACTACATATTTTTCCACACACAAATAAAGCTATTCTGTGTGATCTAGAGCTGCTGTGAAGTATGACAATTGACAGTATCATAAAATATTCACAAGTTTTCATATTTTTCATAATTGATAACATTTCTCTCTTGTACTATGATTTCAGTCATCAAATTATACATAATAGCTGGGGTTAAAGACTTAGCATTTATGTGATCGACATGATAGACACTGTGAAGTAGTAAAGTGCTGATCCTTTAAAAATGTCACCTCTCCTAGATCATCCTCCTGTGAACCTAAGGGATTCAATCCCTAAAAACTTAAAGAATGAAGAACTTTTCAAAACCACTTTCTGGTTAAGAAGTGACAAGTTGGGAAAAAATTGCTTAATAATAATAGGAAATACTCCTGTGGAAACAGCTTTACTACAAGCCTCTGCAGCTGCTATTGAAAAGATTCAGAGAAATATTCATACCGGAGGGAGGAAAGAGACATCTCACAAGCAATGTTCTTTCCAAGCGTAAATGTTAAATACTGTAGTTCATATGAATTTCTCTTGCTTCATTTTCTCTAGGGCTAATTTTTCATATATATGAAGACATACGTATAACCAGGAAAAAGGATTTTCCCCGTGGTACTTCTAAATGCCTACCTTTCATAGCACATACACAGTCTGCCTGCCTGCCTGCCTGCCTGTCTCTCTTCTTATCCACAGTGTTCTATCTTATGCAGGGACTTGGAATTTAATTTTCTGGCTTAGAAACACTTACATAGGCACAATTCCCAATGTCCTTGGCGAAGATTTTGAGGGGAATGCTCTTCGGGTAGTCCTTTTCTTTCTCTAGATTGATGTATCTAATCAAATGCAACAACAACCCAAAACAACACTGAGTCAGATGGAATTCGCTAATGGCTTATTTCAAAAATCAACCTATTTTGCTAATATTTCCAATATACTTATATGCTATTTTTTAAAAAGATAGATGAGAAGACTCAGCAAAGTCAGATTACATTATGGGTTGGAAGAGAATAAAAAAATTCAGGACATTAGGCATGGGCACAAAAAAATAGGACATCCAGGTCAAGTGAGGTTTGAGAAGCACAACCAGGTTAGGGCACCTCTGGGTAATGTTTTACCCTCAAAGTTTCCCTGTCTTCTTTGGACAGGTCCAGCACCTTACTGATAAGTATAGGAACATATATAATAAATATTTTATAAGGCCAAACCAAAGTAATGGCCTTGTACTTCTCATTTAACTCCCCAGTAGGGTGTAAATCTTGGTTATCCTATTGTGTGGAGAGGGAGAGAGGACAGGAGGGAGGGAAGGACTGTAAGTCTAATAGATGAGCCTAAATCAATCATTCTAGTCTGCATGCTCAATGGTAGGGATAATAACTACCATTATTTTTGAGGTGCTTAGCAGAAAACCCTGCATTTATGGAAACTTAATACATACTTTGAGGAAACTGTTAGCTCCAATTGGTAGGCTGGAGACAATGGAAAAAGAGAGGAGATTATTGACTAACTTCTGTCTAAAATGATGTAACTAGACCTCAATGTTCTCCTTCCTAGAAAGTTAAGAAATACATGTAATGAGAGAACATTATTTATAGCAAGTAAGTAGCTAGTGTACAATATAAACAGCAGCTTATTTAGAGGACAAATGAACAATTTCGACTAAGGAGAAGGGGAATAATTTGGGGCACATCTCTGCAGAAAATGTCTTAATTCATTTATTAAAGGTTAAAGATTAAAAATATGAATACTGAAAAAATACCTCTGAAGGAGAGAGAGCCATTTGTCCTTTTGTTCTGGAGAACTGCAATCAAAGAAAATGGGAGAGAAAAGTTAAACCACATAAAATACCTATGCTAACAGATTTAGGATTGTCCATCCAGATGAAAATGTCAACAGCCTGTTGTTACTAATGCAGTTGCACACATAAGCTGCAACCTTGGCATAATTGTGTTCTGGAGAACTCTGCAGTGAAAATATCCCTTTGGAAAAACTACAGTCAAACGTAGTTTTATTAAATCCTTTTGGATGGATCTAAGACAAACCCTCTTTTCTACTTTACTGCTTTTTTACAAGTGGTATCATATCACTGAGAGAGAGTTCCTATAGTGGAAAGAGTACTTGATTTGGAATCTAACACTTGGTTTCAAAATTATATGCAAGCTAGACAATCATGGGCAAGTCATTTAACCTCTAAGCCTCAGTTTCTACATCTATGAAACTGGGTTAGAATTTTTGTAGCTCAAACGGCCATACAAATAGAAAGTATGGTTAATATTGAGAATACAGAGATTAAGAGAAATTTGGCATGTGGATGGAAATCTCTTTGCCCAGAAACCAGTTTGCTATTAGGAAAAGAAACATTTTTAAAAATCACATGCAGCAAGATTATCATTTAGTAAATTTGTTAGTTGAAAACTTATTCTTAATAACTATAACTGTCTGATTAAGATCCATTTGCAACTAAATTAGCATTAATTTTTATGCTGATTTCACTATTATGTTTAATTCTTAAGATTAAAAATAAAGTTTATTCCTATATAGTCTTGTCACTAACAAGCTTTTAAAATCATATTTCTCTCTCATTTTTTTTTTAAAGAGAGGGGTCTTGCTCTGTTGCCCAGGCTGGAGTATAGAGACATGATCATGGCTCACTGCAGCCTTGAACTCCTAGGGCTCAAGAGATCATGCTGGCTCAGCTTTCTAAGTATCTGGGGCTATAGATGCATGCCACAAGGCCTGGCTAATTTTCTAATTTTTTTAGAGATGTTGGAAATCCTAGTTATTTTATTATTTCCAAAAATACATTTATTCACTAACTTTGTTGTTTAGCAATTTTCTCCATAAGCAATCTGCCAGGATTGGCCATCAGAAAGTGCATAACTTTTTTTTTTTTTTTTTTTTTTACCATTGAGCATACATTTTCCATCTTTCACAATTCCTTACTATCTTTTGATGTACTCTCTTTTCTAAAATAGATTTTCTGGGTTCACTTATGTCAAGTCTTGGATTTATTTAGCAAAAATCTGTTGAGAAATAGATAAGAGGTTTGCTTCAGACCTGCTAACGTTTTTCAAAGCAGTTAAAGAAAATTGCCCCTTTAAGACGCTTAGTATTTTTTAAATTTTTAACTGAAATAAAAGATATATAGAGAAAACTGCACAAAGCTTACATGTACAGCTTGAAGAATTTTAACAACCTGAACACACTCACATAAACCAGCACCCAGATCATGAAATAGAAAATCACCTTGGAAGGTCCCTTATCTTCTTTTCCAGGCAGTAGTTTCCACTATCCTGACTTCCAATAGCATAGAATAGTTTTGCATGTTTGGGTACTTTATATAAATGTAACCATAAAGTATATACTATTTTGTGTCTGGGTTCTTTGAACATTATGTTTATAATATTTAATTATATTACTATATGTAGTTTTAGATAATTATTTTTTTTTCTTTTTCTTTTTTTTTTTTTTTTTTTTGAGACAGAGTTTCACTCTTTTTGCCCAGGATGGAGTGCAATGGTGTAATCTTGGCTCACCACAACCTCCGCCTCCTGGGTTCAAGCGATTCTCCTGCCTCAGCCTCCCGAGTAGCTGGGATTACAGGCATGTACCACCACGCCTGGCTAATTTTGTAGTTTTTAGTAGAGACAGCATTTCTCCATGTTGGCCAGGCTGGTCTTGAACTCCCAATCTCAGGTGATCTGCCTGCCTTGGCCTTCTAAAGTGCTGGGATTACAAGCATGAACCACTGCGCCCGGCCAATTCATTTTCATTGCTGTGTTTCCTTGTTTGAATATATAGCATATATTACTTCAAAATATAAATTATGAAATGTGTCAGGTTAACATATGGAGATGAATTTGTGTAATCTTCTTATATATTTCCCTTTCCCCCCTGCTCTATACCTGAATCCAGGACTCCCTTTCTTTAGTAATTCTGAATCTCAGGCATTTTTAAGGGACTAAAAATAGAAGTACTTCAAAGTCAATGGCTATCTCTGGGTTTTATAAATACTTAAACCCCTTAAAAAGATAGTAAGATCCAAGACAGGAGAAAGCAGTGTATCTTGGAAAATAAAAAGGGCATGGCAGATTAGAAGATTCTCTCAAATTATGGAGGAGATAGAGGCCTGTCATCACTGACAGTGAGCTGGGAACCATATGTCACTCAGTTAAGGTGCCCAAAGGAAACAGAAAGAACCCAGAGGAAATGATTTTAAGGAGTCATTAGGGAGGCTGGGTCCTAGGCACCAAAGTTTTTATATCAGCAAAGATATCTTCCACCCACCCTCTGCCCGCCCCTTATGGCAAAGAAGCAGAACATCTCTGGATATACAGGGACAACTCTGAGCATAGAAATAAATGTCAACAGTGACCACAATAGACTAAAGTCAGAAGCCCTTTGTCTGTTTTGGAGGCATCTTAGAAATCTCCTGTATTATAGTTCTACCTTACAAAAACAGGAGTTCCAGTAAAGAAGAAAATCTGATTTCCTACCAGCCTGGCAAAATGGGGGTTTAAGATGAGTTTTAATTTGATCTATAAATAAACATGCATACCTGAGTTTGTAGTCTAAGATTCACAGTAGGTACTTAAGTTAACATATTATTTTCTGATTCTTATAGACAGACTACTGTCAGATTCAAGTACTTCCTGTGTTTTTTGAATAATTTTCCCATTCCATAGTACCATTATTTGTAAAATCAAGGTGCAGCACCTATTTTTCTGGTAGATATAGATCCTAAGTTGGTGAATCAGAGTATATGTAGTGATAGAGATGAAATTCCTTTTGGGCTTTTTTGGGATGTGACTACCCTGTTTTCAAGTAAAGCATGAAAAGTTCACATTGATTGTCTGCTCTTTCCTCAATTTGACTCAATGGAGAGTTTTTCAAAGATTCTGGCAATTGTCAGTCTTAGATTTCAATGCTATTAGTTTTTACGTTTTATTTTTATTTTTTTGAGACCAAGTCTTGCTCAGGCTAGAGATATTGCCCAGGCTGGAGCGTAGTAGTGCAGTCACAGCTCACTGCAGCCTTGAATTCCTGGCCTCAAACAAAGCTCCTGCCACATCCTCCCAAGTAGCTAAGACTACAGGGTACCACCATGCTCACCTAATTTAAATATTTTTTTAGAGATAGGGTCTATATTGCCCAGGTCTATGGCCTCAAGCAATCCTCCACCTCAGCCTCCCAAGTAGCTGAGACTGCAGGTGTATGCCACCATGCCTGCGTAATATTTTGACTTTTTTTGTAGGGATGGAATCTTGCTATATTGACCAGTCTGGTCTCAAAACTCCTCCCCTCAAGTGGTCCTCTCACCTCAGCCTTTCAAGCAGTTGGGATTACAGGCACCAGCCACTGTGGCTGGCTACATTTACAAAAAACAGTTATTATAGTAACTGGAGAGACTGCTTCTTTAACCTGCTATCCAATGGAATTTTAAATGAATCATGACCTAGATTTCCCTAACATTTCCAGTGACTGCCACTCCTTCCTAAAGATCTGAGCTTCCCTCTTGTATTTCACTTCAGTGTGAAAATTTGTGTTAACATTTTTTTTTTTTGGTAAGACAGTTCTGCGAGTAATGAATTATTATAGTTTTTTTTTTAAAAAATCTTCACTCTACCTTCATTTTTAAATAATATTTTTGCTGAATATTGTATTCTAAGTTAAAAGGTTTTTGTTTCAACACTTTAAAAAATATATTCCATTGTCAGCTGCGCATGGTGGCTCACTCCTGTAATCCCAGCACTTTGGGAGGCCAAGGTAGGCGGATCACCTGAGGTCAGGAGTTTGAGACCAGTCTGGCCAACATGGGGAAACCCCATTTCTACTAAAAATACAAAAAAATTAGCTGGGCGTGGTGGTGCGCACCTGTAATCCCAGCTACTCAGGAGGGTGAGGCAGGAGAATCACTTGAACCTGGGAGGCAGAGGTTGCAGTGAGCCAAGATCATGCTGTTGCACTATGGCTTGGGTAACAACAGCAAAACTCCATCTCAAAAATAAATAAATAAATAAATAAATAAATAAATAAATAAATAAAGTTCCACTGTCTTCTAACCTCCATAGTTTCTAATGAAAGGGCCATAATAATTCAAATTGTCATTTTCCTATTTGTAATACATTGTTTTTATCTGACTGCTTTTAAGATTTTTCTCTTATCTTTGATTTATGGTAGTTTATAGTAGTTTATAACATGACCAGGTATAGTTTTCTTAATAGTCACATTGTCTAGAGTTCAGTGAGCTTGCTGAATCTGAATATTTATGCCTTTTACCAAATTTGGGTAGTTTTTAAGCACTATTTCTTCAGCCCCATTTCCTCTCCTCTTTCTGTAATTCCAGTGAGATGTATATTATACTTTTTGATACATTCCCACAAGTCTGTGACACATTTTTCCTTTAAAAAATCTTTGTTTTTTTTCTGTTCCTCAGATTAGACAATTTGTATTGATAAACCTTCAAGTTCACCAATTCCTCTTTCATTTCCATTCTGCAAAGAAAGCCACTCAGAAAATATTTTATTTAAAATATTGTAGTTTTCAGTTCTAGAATTTACATTTGGCCCTTTTCAGTATTTTCTATTTCTCTGCTGATATTTACTATCTTTTTATTAATTTAAATTGAATTTTCCTTTTACCTGCCATGCTTACTTATGAAAGCTGTTTTAAAATTCTTTTCTGGTAATTCAACATATGAATCATTTTAAGATTGGTCTCTGTTGATTATCTTTTTCCTTGTTCTTCGTATGTCAAGATATTTCAGATTGTATTCTGGACATTCCAAATGTTTCAGAGACTGTATTCTGTTATATTTGTGGAACGGTGTTGATATTTTTGTTTTAGCAGAAACTAACTTGATTAGATGATGCTACAAACTCTATTTCATCTGTGATGGGTTGCAGCTCAGTTAAATGCTTTCAGTCTTAGCTTCAAGATGCTTTCAGTCTATCTCATGCATGTGGGGTTTGGTGACCAGTCAGAGATTTGGGCAGTGTTTATACATAGAATTTGGAGCTTGCCTTCTCTGCTACTTTCCTTTTTGAGATTTCCCTCATCCCACAATAGCTGTGGATGACATGGCTTCTGTCCTCTGGTTCTTCAGCTCAGAAAGACTGTTTCTGCCAGTTTTAGTTGTCCTACACCATGATGTAACTGTACCCTGCCCTCAGGCTAAGGCCTTAAAAACAGGAAACTCACCCAGTACTTGTGCCTACTTCCAAGTTTAAATTTCTCTCCAAAAGACTTCACTCTGACATATCAAAGGCAGAACTCCTCAACACTTCACTTTTTAAAAAAAATAAATTCAGAAATTTTAGATTTCCATAAAAGTTACAAAGATAATACAGAGATTCCCTACAGAGTTCTGATGCTGTTTAAGTTTAGAGGAATCTAATATTATTCTTTTACATTATCATGGCCCATTTGTCAAAACTAAGAAACTAATATTAGTACATTACTCTCAAACTCTTGACTTTATTCAGATTTCACCATTTTTCCCATTAATGTCCTTTTTCTGTTCTAGAAGCTAATCTAGAATACCACATTATAATTATTATATCTCTTTAGTAACTGATCTATGACCATTTCTCAGTTTTCCTCTGATTTTGTTTTTTTGACCTTGAGTATTTTAAGAAGTGCTGGTCAGGTATCCTGCATAATGTATCTCAATGTGTGTTTGTTCAATGATTTCCTCATGATTAGACTGGAGTTAAAGGTTTTTGGGAGGAAGATCACAAGGTTAATTGTTCTTCTCATCACAATATACCAAGGAGTACATTTTACCTACGTGACATCACTGGTGATATTAACCTTGATCATTTGGTTAAAGAACCATAGTTTGAATAATATAATATAGGTAAAACTTGTTTCCACATTTTCCCCTCTTCTTAAGATAAAAGAAGTTTCACGAAAATTCCTTGATTAAAAATGTCATGTAGTCATACCCTCACTTAAAATTACGTCCTTTCACCTGTAACTCCAAGGAGATTAAGCAATAGGAAATGATAATATCTAGAGAAATCTGTCATGGAAAAGATATGCTGAGAATGAAACAAACACTTTCTTTTTTCCAAATCAGTTCTTAGAATCTTGTGGTAGGCCAAATAGTACATAATAGAATTTAATGACATGCCTATCTTTTAATAGATTAACATCGTGGAAAATTTTAGTTGTCTGGCTTTAGGATGATGTCCTAGGAGTTTTGTGGTAGCAAGAAGAGAAGCAAAATAAAAAGCATCATGTGCATGGGATGAACACTAACTTTAAGTGTAAAACAAATACTGGAGAGCTTGGGACACAGTTATTCAAAATCACAGGTTGTGACTGTGATTGTTCACTCTGTACTGGACAGTGCCAATTAAGCATGTTCATTAGGACAAATATTCTGCATTCATACATTCTCCAACCCCATCCTAGCACAGGAATAAGTCTTGGGAAGCTCTCACTCCTTAAAATGATACCTTTGCTTTTCGTTGTCACATCTCTATAGACACCAACTGAAAACCTGCTACACAATTTAAGTAACCATTATTTCATGACATTAGTTTTATTTGTATAATAAAACACTATTTATTTAAAAATTCGGGAGTATAAGTATAAACCACTTACTGAAACTTAATTGGACTATACAATTTGCTTCAATGAAGGTCTTTTTCAGTGGTTTGAAAAGACTGATAAGACTTAAAAGCTCAATATGTAAAACAAATACCTACATATTAAGGAAGAGGATGTTGAAGAGGGGTTCCTAAAGACGGGACTACTCTATTCCCCTTCCATATTCCTGGAAGTTCTTGTTTTTTTTTTCCCACAAAAATAACAAGTCAAACCAAGGTAAATGATCCCAAGAGTTCCCAATATTTACCATTAATTTTCACATATTTTAATCAAAAGCCCATTGGGAGAAATATATGGCATACAAGTATTTTGGTTGGATGTATGTGTCAACAGATGAGTTACTGACTTAATACACAATCAGAACAAAATACAATCAGAACAAAATACTTCCCTCTTAAAAATTAGATGAATAACATTTGATTATTATTTTTTTTTTAAATCTCAGTCCTAGATCATAGTAGCTAACCCAGGTAAATAGAGGACAAGCTGTGATTCTTACCTGAAAGTGGCCACAAAGTTCACTGTGGGCCAGCCCAAAACAAAGGATTTCATGGCATTGGTGTTGCCTTCTCCCACTTCATCCACACAGCTTGCTGTCCACATATCAGTTAATTTAATTTTATTTTTTATCTTAAAGTTATTGTTATATCTAGAAAGATAAAAACCAAACAACCCTTTGTTATTTTGTTTCTTAAATTTTATGGGAGCTTCTCTTAAATTTTATGGGAGCTTCTCTGGAAGCCATCATCCTCAGCAAACTAACACAGGTACAGAAAATCAACTACCACATGTTCTCACTCATAAGTGGGAGTTGAACATTGAGAACACATGGACACAGAGAGGGGAATAACACATACCATGGCCTGTTGAGGGGTGGGGGCTGAGGGGAGGGAACTTAGAGGACGGGTCAATAGGTGCAGCAAACCACCATGGCACACATATCCCTATGTAACAAACCTGCACATTCTGCACATGTATCCTTTTTTTTTTTAGAAGAAAAATAATTTATGGGAGCTTCTGTATTTGTGATAAAAGGACCATTTTTCACTAATCATGGGCCAAGTGTCTTATTCAGTGTTTTTATCTTCAGTGCCTAGAAGAGTAAACTAAACAGGGTTGGCTACCTTGGCCCAAGAAGACCTTTGAAACATTGGTGAAACAATTAGTCCTCATGCCTGCATTTATGGCAAGAAATAGCCATAAACTGGCCACCTTATTTTTCTGTATGTCAAGCACTGCATTAAAAACCTAATTTGTACTGCTGTTACAAAATATTAATTCATTTATTATTTATAACTTGCTAATTTCCAAAACAATTTGGCTGAAAACAGAAAATACACAGGATTTATTAAAATGTTTATAAAATTTTCATTTTAAGAGAGATGCACTAAAAAAATCCCTGTAGTTAATTAGAATAATTTATAATACATTTTCAATGAAGTGGTTGCAAGATTTTCTAGGCTTTAGAAGCACAGGTTATTTTAAATTTCCTTTCTTAGATTTTGTTCAACCATTTCCCCTTATATTCTGGCTAAAAGTAAAAATCTGCAGTCCCCCAAAAAGAACCTAAATCAAACTTGAAAAAAAAAAAGTAGGATTGACACAATTAACATTCATCTCTGGGGACCTTGAAGGTGATCTATTTTAATTCAAGTGAAATTGCTTTTAGACAATTTCTACCTAATCCCCGTAGACTCCTGATATGGAAACCACCATATCTCTTGACCTAATTGTCAGGTTTAATGCTAGCAGGGACCTGAGACTTGAATAGAAGGCAACAACAAGGATAAAGAGAATGCTCAGGAAAACATGGGTACCTCTTGGCATTCAGAACCATTTGTGTAAATACTAAAAGTTAAAATGAAATCAAAGGTAACTTATATGGAAGTATCCCTAAAATTCCTCTGATTCATGGATTATTTAAAGTTAAAAGTTTTCAGTGAAATTCATAAGATGAAAAAGGATTTTGCAGGAACTGAAGGAAAATCTAGATTCAAAGCCTCATGTATGCTTCCCATAGAATTTAAGTGTAATAGAAAGTGTCTTGTGGCATTAAGGCTTCTTCCTATATTTCAATATTTCCCCCCCTATTGTTATGAATCTTTAGATTTTTAAAATAAAACAGACCCAATTACAGACCAAATCTTATTTGTTGATGCCAACTGTCTGGGTAATATAAAACTAAAACTACACATCTTTTGAAAAAACAGGTATCTTTCCATATTTGTTTTCATGTATTTTGTATTTTCTGATGCAAGTCTCTATCTTAGTAGATACTGCAGATATCATGTGGGAACATCCACATCCATTGACCTGGGAAAAAGGTCATCCCAAAGATCCTTTCCCTAGATCAATAGGGTGCTACATTATCTACCCAGATTTCCAAAACAAGCAACTGTCTAAAAGTACGAACAATGACTTCCATTCTCCTATAATAAAAACAACGGCTAACATTTATTGAGAACTTACCATATACCATTGTTGTAAATACTTTACACACATTATTTAGCTTGATCCTCAGGAATTTTACAGGTAAGGAAATGGAGTCGTAGAGAGGTTAACCTGCTAAAAGTCACACAGCTTAAGTAGCAGAGCTAGAATTTAAACTTGGACAGTGCTGACTCCTGAGCTTATTTATGCTCTTAACCACTAGACATCTATAAAAAGTCCTGGATATCGCTATTCCTAAACAGCACCTGAAACCTGGGTGAAATTATATTTTCCATGAAGTTCTCTCTTCAGCTTTTCTATCTTTGGCTTTTTGTTTTTTTAATCTCTGCAGAGCTACACGGCTTTCTGATGTGGCTACTATGGAGGCGGAGGAAGAAATCTCATGAACACTTATGAACATAAAGCTAGATGGACTAGTTTGAAAATATTTAAAAGAAGTATTCCAATAAAGTTTTATATTAAAATGGGCATTCTTGGGGTCATAGAATGGTTCTTCAGATTTTTCACTTTCAATTTCCAATAGTATTAGACTATAGAAATTAAAAAATGCTAATTTAATGTGGACTGGCTCCAATAGCATGACAATGACTATCTCCAATAGTATTATGAAGACAGGAATTAAAAAGTGTGAATCCAATATGAACAGACTGAACAAAACCCCCTAAAAATAAATTCTTTTTTTTTTTTTTTTTTTTTTTGAGACAGAGTTTCACTCTTGTCACCCAGGCTGGAGTGCATTGGCATGATCTTGGCACACTGCAACCACCACCCCTCAGGTTCAAGTGATTCTCATGCCTCAGCCTCCCAAGTAGCTGGGATTACAGGTGCCTGCCACCATGCCTGGCTACTTTTTTTTTTCGTATTTTTAGTAGAGATGGGGTTTTGCCATGTTGGTCAGGCTGGTCTCAAACTCCTGACCTCAGGTCATCTGTCTGCCTCGGCCTCCCAAAGTGCTAGGATTACAGGTGTGAGCCACTGCACCTGGCCAAATTCTTTATTTCGACAATGTAGTCCCTTACTACAAATTTATTAAGCTGACAGATACACTTTGCTTTCCTATCCTCCTATCTTCATACTGGAAAAATTTCCAGTGAACTGATGAAATACACAGGATTCCAGGGAGTTTTCTCCCCATTCTAAGATAGGGATGTCTTATTGAATATGTTTTGGGGTAGAGATCATTATATATTCCACAAATATCTGATGGTAATTCTATTAATAAATTTATTTCATCTTCTTCACCTAACTCATTACTATTTGCTTATTCTCATAAAATATGATAATAGTGATGACTTATGAGCATGTGAGGTAAATACAGTCATTTATCCTTTCTGTAAATTCCATATGGGTGCTCAATGGCTATTATCAGAGAGAACAGTAAACTTCTTTCTAAATAATTTAATGTTTGTAAAACAGATCCTGTTTTTTTAAAAAAGAAAACTCATGATTTTATTGGAAAAGTAACCTATTTATCTTCCAAATGAATATCAAAAATGGTCCCCAAGTACCCACCTGGCTTTAATACTTTACTAATTTAGTATGGAAAAGAATTACCATAAACTCAAAACAATTTTCAGCAAATACTGTCAGCATCCAGTACAAAACAGATCAAATATAATAATTCAGTCAATAGAAGAAAGCATTTAACACCTGCTTTATTGTTGTACTTACTAACATTCACTAAACAAATATGTAGCAGTTGATTATTTATCCCACTCAAGTTTATTTCTCTAGGCCCAACCTAAGGACTGAAAGCAGTATCTAAAAGAAGCCTGAAGATGAGCTGATGTAGTATGGAATTTAAGGTCCCCTCCTTGTCTCCTATGGCTCAGTAAGAGACTTAATTGCTAATTTCAGATTATTTCAACAAATTAATTGATACAGGGTAACACTCAATCCTTCATCCAAGGGTAAGAAGTGACCTAAAATACATAGGTTTGGAATTACAGGGACTATTTGGTTTTGGTTGTTATTTCATAAAAATTAAGTTCTTTCATATTAAGAAGGATCTGTGAATATAACTAAATGTTTGCTGTGGAATGATCATGTAATCAATTTCCTAAAAAATGGTGGTCAAAATTTTTGCAAAGTGGCAGGATTTAATAATAATAATAATAATAATAATCTCAAATATGTTTGTTCCATCTCAGGGGTTTTGGATTTATGCCAAAAAATAACTTAGCTCACTCACACTTTTAAATATTCCCAATGGGTATAAAAAGTACTTAAAATAATCTTTCATAATTTGAACCTCTTATATAACAGCATTTAAATCAATTGATAGACTTTTTTTCACTTCACAAAAACATTAAAGTGGACACAGTTATCTCAAAAACAGTGTATGGGAAAAAGTGGTATAACTTTATGTGAGAAAGGGACAATTAAAATAAAAAGTCAGCTACAGAAGCAGACGATGAGTACACATTTTGCCAATATATCTAAAAACAGCAATATTCTAGTGGAAAAGAAACTGTCTTTCTATAAAATACTTTTAGCAAAACATAGGTTCCATAAAAACAACTTATATGCTAACAGTATACAGAACAATAAATAACCTCAGATAAAAAAACAGAGGTCCTCTATTCTAATTATCATTGTAACTGCTAAGGGGGAAAATATCCGAAAAAGGTGAAGGAAAATACATTCTTCCCTAAGAACTGAATGCATGCTACAAGTAAATCATCTTTAAGATCTTAAGGTTCAGAAAATTGGTTATTATAAAAAATTTATGTTGTCTATTTATCTACCTCCAGGCTGAGCTATATACCTAACGAGTACCATGTGCTAAAAAATATAGAAAGAGCCAGCCATTGGAAGTAAGGCCTAGATTCAAACCCCAGCCCTGCCATTTCTTAGTATATAACAAACCTTCCTGAGCCTCAGTGTTCAATATCTGAAACAACTCTTATCTTGGAGGACTGTCAGGAAAATTAAACGAAATCTTTGTGATTCTCCTATTGTAATACCTAACATAGATAACTCATCTAATAATTTTTAAATAAGGGAATAACTGTTTTTTGAAAACAATGACTTGTTCCTCTATTAATAGTTTCCCAACTTGGAACTTCAAGTGGACCTAGTGCAAAGATGTGGCTGGAGTAACTTTTTCTTTCTCTTTATTCCTATAATACCATATCCACTCCAAAACTACATCTGTAGGCATTCCTTCTATCCGAATCACATTCCGAAACAGTTCTCATCATTATGCTTGCCTTTAATTTAAAAAAAATGTATAAACAATTCAGTAAGCATTCTATACCATCTCTTAAAAATGGGTATTTAGTTGGAGCCTTTTACTCATCCATGTGAAGAGGAACTCAAGCCTCTGGCCACAAGCTACTGAGGAACTAAGGCTAACAGCATCCACTTGAGTGAGCTTCGAAGTAGATTCTCCAGCTCCAGGTGAGCTTTGAGATGACTTTAACCCAAGCCAACAAGCTTGAGGGCTCTCATGAAGGCTCGTAAGCCAGAACCATCCAGTGAAACACTCTCAGACTCCTGACTCAGAGAAACTGCATGAGACATTTACAGTTTTAAACTGTAATGTTTTTGGGTAATTTGTTAAATAGCAATAGATAATTAATATAGCCTACAAAGGTCCTTAAAACCTAACCCTTGTCTACTTATCTAATCTTAATTCATCGTACTCTCCTTGGCTTGTTATGCTCCAGTTACACAGGCCTTCTTTTAACTCCTCCAAGGGCCAAGCTTTCCTCAACTACCTTTGTACCTGCTGTGCCCTCTCCCTGGAATGCTCATCCTCTCAATATCTGAATGGCTGATTGCTTTTCATCCTCACTGAATTTTTCCCCTGACTGCACCTACCTAACATATATGCCATCTTTTACTTCACCCAGCACCCTATTTTCTTCATAATACTAATCACACTTTGTCATTCTCCCTCACCCCATGCATAAGACTGTAAGCTCCCACATTAGAATACAAGCTCCCAAAGAGCAGGGACCATACCCATCACATTCTTCATTGAATTTTCCTACATTTATTCTGGACATGGCACAGAACAGGACCTAAATAAACACTTGTTGAAAAAATGAACAACCTTTTTTTTTTTTTTGCAAAAAAGGGCATAAAATCACTTTAAACATTACCTATAGTAACAGAGGCAAAACCTTCTTACAGTAAGCATTGAGTAGAAAGGGTATCTTTGTTAGTAAAAGTGCAATTTTATAATGATAATCAGGAGTATATAGTATACGTACTTGATTTTGGCCACAACAAACAGATCATTGAATAGAAAAAGATGCCGCTCCTGCCTCTGGAGGCCTCTTTTGAGTTCTGCCCGGCCATCAATCAGCAGAGTCCTACTGGAGCACACAAATGACGACAGAAATGTGCACGTGTCAACACTAGCAGAAGGACTTTCCCTGTAACAGATTAAATGCCACAGATCAGTTAGTCAAATGATCATTTTATAGTTGGTCAAGAACTATAAAACTCTGTAATGTTTTTTAATACAATGGTATAGCATCCTAACTGGTCCTGAGTCTATTCTACACACAGTTGTCTTTAATATTTCATTATGAAAATTTTGAAACGAAGAAAAGTTGAAATAGTTTTATAATAAACACATGTATATGTATCTCAATCTAGATTCCACCATTAGTATTTTCCTATACTTGCTTTATTAAATACCTATCCAACCATCCATTGAATAATTCATTTTATTTTTGGCATTTCAGTGTAAACGACACACAGGCAGTACATGTTCCCCTGAATGCTTCAGTATACATATCATTAACTAGAGTTCAATTATTTATTTTGAATTTTTCTTTTGATATAAAATTTACACACAAAATGCACAAATCTTAGGTGTATATCCACTGACTTTTGATAAATGTACTCATGTGTAATCTAAGCCTCTAACAAGATTTAGAAAATGATCAACACTCCAAATAATTCCCTCTTGCCCCTTCTCAGATATTATATAAATTAACCAAATATAGTCTCCATGGATTGGCTCCTGAGTTGTTTATTTCTTTACTGCAGGCTGAGACCTGTTAGTTCAAAACCTCATTAGTACCAAACTCAAATTTTTATATATCGAAGTATTTTAAAAACAGCCCAAACAATCAGATTTTTAGCCAGTAACAGCCTGCCTGCTTTGCATACTCCATCGAACTACACCCAGCACCTGCTGGCCATTGATAAGAGAGTGTCTGTGGTTATGAAACCCCCAAGTTGCTCCTGCCCTTTAGAGTTCTCTGACCTAGCCATTCCACACTACTGAGGAATGGACATGTTCTCTCCAGAAATATCTGCTCTGATTTTTTTCTCCCCTGCCCTCCTTCCCTTCTGGATGGTGGCCCCTTGCCATAAGCCTCTGGACAGTCTCATACTGTGATGAATTTACTCTCTCATGCAACCCTGTACAATGGTCATATTTTAAATCTTTGGTCAGATCCCAAATACCTCAAACTATACCAGTCAATCCTTGCTTGATCACCTCAGAGGTAACAACTATTTTGATTTTTTTTTTTTCCCATGGAAGACTGCCTGTTCTAGAATTTTATACAAATTGAACCACAGTATCTATTCTTTTGTGTAAGATACTACTTCCTCATCATGATTTTGGAATTCATTCATGTTATTACATTTATCAGTAACTCATTCCTTTATCTCACTTAGGTATTCAATGTATAAATATACCAGAGTTTATTCTTCTATTGTTGTACACTTGGGCTGTTTCCAGTTTTTAGCTATCAAGAATAAAATGGTTATTAAACATTGGTACTAGTCTTTTTGTATCTATGTTTTCATTTCTCTTGGGTAAATACCTCAGAGTGGAATTGTTAGGTCACAGAGTAGGTATATGTTTAATTTTAGAAAAACTACCAGTTTTCCGTAACGATGGTACCATTTTACATTCCCAGCAACACTGTAAAAGAGTTCCAGTTGCTCCATGACCTTGCTAACATTTGGTGTTGTCAGTCTTTTGAATTTGGCCAGTTTAGTGGATGTATAGTAGCCTTTAATTAGGATTTTTTTTTTCTTAGTTTGAGACGGAGTCTCACTCTGTCACCCAGGCTGGAGTGCAATGGCGCGATCTCGGGTCACTGAAACCTCCACCTCCTGGGTTCAAGCAATTCTCCTGCCTCAGTCTCCTAAGTAGCTGGGATTACAGGCATGCAACACCATGCCCAGCTAATTTTTGTATTTTTAGTAGAGATGGGGTTTTGCCATGTTGGTCGTGCTGGTCTTGCACTCCTAACCTCTGGTGATCCGCCTGCCTTAGCCTCCCAAAGTGCGAGGATTACAGGTTGAGCCACTGCACCTAGTCTTTAATTAGGATTTTAATTTGCATTTCTCTGCTAATTTCTTTCACGTTCTTACTGGCCATTTGCATTACCTTCATTGGTGAACTGTTTTCAAGTCTTTTGCTCATTTAAAACAATTTGGGTTATGTGTTATTATATACATACTATCTATTGAGTTGTAGGAACTTTTTTATGTATTGGATCCTAAATTCCAGTCCTTTGTCAGGTTATGTGTTTTGGAAAGTATTTTTTCCTAGTCTGTTGCTTGCCTGTAAACTTTCTTAACAATGTTTCTGACAAAAAGTTTTAAATTTTGACAAAGTTTATCAAATTTTTCATATGATGTTTACTTTCTGTAACCTTTCTAGGAAACTTTCACCTATCCCCCACTCATCAAGATATTCTCCAATGCATTCTATTAAAATATGTGTGATTTTTAGTTTTTACATTTAGGTCTATGATCCATCTCAAATTAATTTTGCTTAATAAGGAAGAGGGCCAGGTTCACTTTTTTCTATACAAATACTTCATTTTCCTAGCACCATTTACACCAAAGACTTGGTGCTTACTCATATGTAAAGTAAGTTAGTTGGACTAGGACTATAGATCTTTAAATTCCCTTCCTCAATGGATTGCTTTGGCACCTTTGTAAAATTACATGACTATAAAGCATAGGTCTATTTCCAGGCTCTCTATTCTGTTGCACTGATTTATTGATTCTTATGCTATAACCACACTGTCTTATTGTTCTAAGTTTATAGCGAATCATAAAATTACATAGTGTTAAGTCCATCATCTTTTTATTTTTTGAGACTGTTTTAGATAATCTAGGTCTTTTGCATTTCTATATATTTTCTGACTCACCATTTTTTCACTTTATGATGGTGTGAAACTGATAGGCATTCAGTAGAAACTGTACTTCAGATTTTGAATTTTACTCTTTTCCTGTGCTAGGTTAGGTGTATTAAATGCATTTTCTACTCATGATATTCTCCACTTATGATAGATTCATTCTGACATAACCAGTTGTAAGTTGAGGAGCATCTGCACATTTTAGAGATTAACGAAAACGAAGAACAAAGGAGGGAAAGCCTATAGTGGCTGGGAAAGAAGAGATGACCTCAATTTCAAATGCACTGAGTCTGAAATTATCAGTGGGCTAGGTGGTATGGCAAAATCAGGTAGGCATGCAGCACTTGGAAGAGATGTCAGAAGCAGAGATGTCATACAAAGACAGGTGCATAAATAACTCTTTGTAATGGCTAGAACTGCCAAGGGAAGGAGCACAAAATAAGAAAAAAGGCAGAAACATATCCCTGAGAAAAGATGTATGTTGCAGAGATGAAGGGAAGAGAACATATGAGCAAAGATGGAGACTGGTAAATGAAGTAGCAGAAAAATAATAAAAAGTAGTGGTGGTCACGAGTGCTGAAACTGACAGAAGGGATAACAAGCTGAGGTCTGAAAAGGTGTCTCGGGGTAAAAAGTCATCAGTTGGTCATTAAGACTGTTGAGGAAACAGTTCCAGGAGAATGGTGTGGGCAGAACTCAAATGTCTGGAATTTGAGGAGTAAAAGGATGAGAAGTGAGGAATTAAGGGCAAAAACTCTTGTTTTTTTTAGCAGCTGAACACTAGAATGTGACTTTAAGGATTCTAAAGTGGGTACAGCTGGTGAGGAAGGAAAGGTAAGAGAAACAATCAGCCCTGAAGGTAGGTATTACTATCCTTCATTTTACAGATTTGAAGCTATTTAGGGTAGCCAAAATATACAGCTACTAAGGTGATTTACAAGTATGGTTTCACATACTTTAAAAAATTCTATGTAGTCTTTCAAATGGGCAAACACTGCATTGACTCAGCTTCCTCCTCCAGCCATGGTGACTGAGTTCAGTGGTTTAGGATTTAACGACTTGGGTGGAGTGCTAATCCAGTCTTCTTGCTAACTAGTGTGATATGGCAAGTTACCTGGTTGGCTTAGTTTCCTATATGTAAAGTAAGTTAGTTGGACTAGGACTAGAAGATCTTTAAATTTCATTTATAATTTACATATGGGACTAACTAAATATGTATCCAAAATGTGGAATTAAGATTATTGATGAGAGGGAAATGGATAATGGATATGATGGGCTATGTCTGTGAGAACACTCCAATCCTAAAATATAGTTGATAAATATATAGCTAAGCATATTTGAGAGTCACTTCAGGGAAACAATCCAAAGTTGAACTAAATTAAAAGCCATCCAAAAGTTATAATAATGACAATGAGAACATTTTTTTTTTTTAAATTAGTCTAATTAAACGAGGAGCTCAAAGAACAAGTATTTGTCAGGGTCTCCAACAACGCATAAGGTGTAAGAGGCCATGACTTGTCAGCTCAATTATCAGGTCCACGTGGCAGCTATAAAAAAGGAGCATTATGGCTTATCTATGTTTCTTGGGTTTGAATAGTATGGGTCACAGTGTCTGATCTCCCCTGGGTATACTAAAAGTATGAGGCCCATACACTATCCTAATAGCTCTGAATTAATCCCCAGTGGTCAGCCATCCCTTTCTCTATTACATTCTCATTGTGTGGACTCCTGACCAGCATCATCATCATCAACCAGCAACATGCTTTAAAAATGCAAACTCATAGGTGGGAACTGAACAATGAGATCACTTGGACTCGGGAAGGGGAACATCACACACCGGGGCCTATCATAGGGAGGGGGGAGGGGGGAGGGATTGCATTGGGAGTTATACCTGATGTAAATGACGAGTTGATGGGTGCAGCACACCAACATGGCACAAGTATACATATGTAACAAACCTGCACGTTATGCACATGTACCCTACAACTTAAAGTATAATAATAATAAATAAATTTTTTTAAAAATGCAAATTCTCAGGCCTTCCTCAGGTTTATGGACTCAGAAACTCTGGAGGGCTGGCTCAGCATCCTGCAGTTTAACAGGCCAGTCAGGTGATTCTAATGCACATTGAAGTTTGATTCTAATGCACATCATGAGTCTACAACGTATTCTAGCTCGAACATTGTAAAATTCTACAATAGTGTATTCTAAGTAAGTATGAGTAGTTTATAGTTCTACTTCAGCTAAGTTGAACTTTT